CACTGGCATATATGATGTAGGACATGGTGGGGGGGTTGCATTCTGGACAAAAGTACAGACAAATGGGGTAGCATTGGCTCTTGTTACAAGAGGTAACCTGGTAAGTGTGCCAAGTGGAAAGGCAGGGCCCTTGCTGGTGGTGGGGTGAGCAGTATGGCCTTGGCTCTAAAATTGTACTCCGTGCAGCAAGAGCAGGCCTTGGACAGGGCAGGCACTTTCCTCTTCTCTTGAGGAGTCACGTGACCTTCAGCTATCTAGGGATAGGAAGCAGGCATGCATCCACTGTGAGCTCATCTGTTCACAGTCAGACCGTAGGCTTTTACAAGTTCAGGGGTCTAAGCTTGGGAATCAGGTTCTTGTTGCATCACTCAAGGATGATTGCAGAGAGATCCCAAGCAGGCTGGAAAGAGAATGCTCTTTTTATAAGATAACACACACCTGGCTGCAGCCTTCCTGCCTAAGAAGGTATGCAGCCACCTTGGTCTTCCTCGGGGGCACAGGAAAAGCTGCAGGTTTGAGCCCAGGAGGCCTTGACCCTGGAGGTCCTGTGCCTCTTTCTTGGAGCTATACTTGTGGATGATGGGGCCACCTGGTTACTCTGTGCCCCCAGAGCAGATGGGCCGAATCCTACAGCGCACAGCCATCTCCACCAACATCAAAGAACGCCTCGACTTTTCCTGTGCCCTCTTTGGGCCAGATGGGGGCCTGGTCTCCAATGCTCCCCACATTCCTGTGCACCTGGGCGCCATGCAGGAGACTGTTCAGTTCCAGGTGTGGTGACAGTGATATTTTCCTTTCTGTCTACACCCTTTCCCATGACTTCACTTTCCTTTTTCACTCTGTGTGTGTCTCCTGGTTTCAGATTCAGCACTTAGGAGCTGACCTCCATCCTGGTGACGTGCTGCTCAGCAACCATCCCAGTGCAGGGGGCAGCCATCTTCCAGACCTGACTGTTATCACACCGGTGGGTGAGGAGTACTACCTTGTATACTATCAGAAGGGCAGAGATTTCTAGTGCCACTGACAGTTGCTGTTCACCCCTTAGGTGTTTTGGCCAGGCCAGACACGGCCCGTGTTCTATGTGGCCAGCCGAGGGCACCATGCAGACATTGGAGGTATCACACCAGGCTCTATGCCTCCTCACTCTACCACACTGCAACAGGAGGGTGCCGTTTTTCTGTCCTTCAAACTGGTTCAGGGAGGCGTCTTCCAGGAAGAAGGTGAGCTGGAGAAGGGGCACAGTGAGAATTCAGCAGGCAAGGATGCATTGCTGCTATCAAGAGCCAGATTGGGCAGGATCCTGATATACAACTGATATATCCTGCTATATCAGCCCTGGCCTGCCTTGAGGCTTGGCAAAGACAAATGGTGACCACTCAGGGCAGTTGTAAATCATCTCAGATATGCAGAAGAGATGACTTATGTCTGGACCAAAGATGGTCTTCTGAAGATTTTGGGGTGGGGAGTTGGCCAAGACGCCCAAGGGGACAAAAGGTAGAAGACTTAGCTTTAAGGTTGACGACTGCTACATGCTACACTGAGTATTAAGGCTACAGGATCCCTGTCTGGGTTGGGTCTCAGTCACTGGGCAGTGGAGCAGTTGGAGCTATACTGGTCTGCTTGCACACCACCCTGAGGGTAGGCAGAAGGGTCAGATGTGACAGCTGTAGTCGCTTTCAAAGATGGTGGGTATCCAGGTGGTAGAGGGTGGGAGGGACTGTTTGGGAACTAAAGTGGTACTACCTGGAGATTGTAGAGTCAAGTTTAGATAGCTACAGATGGGGGCTCTGTATTGAGCAGCACAGACAGCCTGCAGGCAAGATGGAGGCACTGGAAAAGACAGCCCTGAAGTCATAGGTGTCTGAGAATGCAAAAAGAAATTCTGGAGTTGAGGTGATAAGGGCACAGTAGAGGTTTGAGGTCCGAGGGCCACTCTGAGTGCCACAGATATATAGGATAACCTTGATTGGGAGCTGAGGTGGATCATGGAGACACAAGTGTTAAACTTATGGCCGAGGGTACAAATGGCCAGTAGACATCAGAGAAGTCCATGACCAAGACTAGAAAGTGAGGGTTTCCCCTGGTGTGATATAGTCCCTGGGCTAGATAACACTGCTTACAGGAATGGGAAAGAAACCTTGCCTAGATGTAGGAAACTGCAGGAAGAGGACAGGAACACCAGGTGCCTAATTGGTTTTTTTGTTTTGTTTTTTGGTTTTTCGGGACAGTTTCTCTGTGGCTTTGGAGGCTGTCCTGGAGCTAGCTCTTGTAGACCAGGCTGGCATCGAACTCACAGAGATCTGCCTGCCTTTGCCTCCCGAGTGCTGAATCAAAGGCATGTGCCACTACCGCCCGGTGCCTAATTGTATTTTTTTGTGTGTGTTTCCCCAAGTGCATGTATGTGCACCACATGTATGCAAATGTCCTTGGAGACTGGAAGAGAGTATAAGATCCTCAGGAACTGGAGTTACAGGCAGTTAAGAGCCCCCTTGTGTGGGTGCTGGAAACTGATCCTGGATCTCTCAAAGAACATGGCTCCTTAACTGCTGAGCCATGTCCCTAGCCCTGTGGTGCCTTAAGTTCTAGGCTGCCAGTGGGAGTGGGAAGGACATGGGGCAAGCAGGACAAAGGTACGTGTGGTGTGTGTGAAGGAGGCTGGCTTTCCTGTGAGGTGTAGAGAGGGACCTAGAAAAGGCAGATGGATGAGCTTGCTAAAGGAATGAACCCACCCTCGCCCATGCCAGCTCCAGCTCCAGCGAAGTCACGGGCACTCTTGCCAAAGGTGCTCCAGATGCTGGGGTGCAGAAAAGGGCTCAGCAGAAGGATGGAGCCTACATCTTCAGAGTTCAGGAGTTTACAATAGGGGAGGTGGGAAGTCAATGGGGTGCTCCCAGTGCCCAGTGTGTGTTGAGGGTATGGAACAGGCAGGCACAGGCACCTCTTCCTCACTCAATTGTGACCCGGTCTATCCAGCGGTGACAGAGGCCCTGCGGGCACCGGGCAAGATCTCTGGCTGTAGTGGAACCAGGAACCTGCATGACAACCTGTCGGATCTTCGTGCCCAGGTGGCAGCCAACCAGAAGGGTATCCAGCTGGTGGGAGAGCTGATCGGGCAGTATGGCTTGGACGTGGTGCAGGCCTATATGGGCTATATTCAGGTGGGCCTGGGGATAGCATACATGGAGCAGTGTTGTGGCTGCTCCAAGGGAGCTGGGCCACCCTGCTTGATGGCATGGCTGGGCTGAACCTTATCCCTGGTAGGCAAACGCTGAACTAGCAGTTCGAGACATGCTTCGAGCTTTTGGAACCTCCCGGCAGGCCCGGGGCCTGCCCCTGGAGGTGTCTGCAGAGGATCATATGGATGACGGCTCTCCCATCCGTCTGCGTGTTCAGATCAACCTGAGTCAGGTTAGCATGTGAGGGAAGAGGGGAGGGCACTGGCCTCTGGGGTGTGGCTGGTTTCTGATAGCCACACCTTTCTTCCTCCTGGGTAGGGCAGTGCAGTATTTGACTTCAGTGGTTCTGGGTCTGAGGTGTTTGGCAATCTCAACGCCCCGCGGGCCATAACTCTGTCTGCTCTCATCTATTGCTTGCGTTCTCTAGTGGGCCGTGACATCCCACTTAACCAGGTTTGTATGGGTGTGCTGTGAGGTCAGCAGGTGGACCCCAAGTCTGAGGTCACCTGGGGATTGCCTGAAGACAAAGGCAGCTCAGTATTTTTATCTGAATCTTAGTGGTACCCAGCACTCATTAATCACCCTGTTCATTCACCAGGGTTGCCTTGCTCCTGTGCGTGTAGTAATTCCCAAAGGCTCCATCTTGGACCCATCCCCAGAGGCAGCAGTGGTGGGCGGCAACGTGCTCACATCTCAGCGAGTAGTGGACGTCATTCTGAAGGCTTTTGGGGCCTGTTCTGCCTCCCAGGTGTGGTGGAGCAAAGGTCTGGGAGTGCTGGAAAACAGGTTGTAGGGTGGATGCCTATATTAACAAAATACTGTTCCCTGCTTCTTTCAGGGCTGTATGAACAATGTGACCCTGGGCAATGCCCGTATGGGATACTATGAGACAGTGGCTGGTGGTACGGGCGCTGGACCTGGTTGGCATGGGCGCAGTGGTGTACACAGTCACATGACTAACACACGCATCACGGACCCGGAGATTCTGGAGAGCCGGTGAGCTGAGCAGTTGCAGTGGTAGGCAGGTGATCTGGGAGATGAGTCCGTGCTCATCTGGGCTGTGCCCTTCGCCTGCACAGGTACCCAGTTATCCTGCGTCGCTTTGAATTGAGACAAGGCTCTGGGGGCCGAGGCCGCTTCCGGGGAGGTGATGGTATAGTCCGAGAGCTGGTCTTTCGGGAAGAGGCGCTGCTGTCCGTGCTCACCGAGCGTCGGGCCTTCCAGCCTTACGGCCTCTACGGTGGGTGGCTCCCCAGCCCTTCCTGGCTTCTTTGCTCGCACCTCAGTGTCCCATCTCCCCATCTCCTGCCCTTACCTCCCTTGACCACCAGCTAGCTCCTTGTTTCCTCCTCCGGTAGGGGGAGAGCCTGGCGCCAGAGGCTTAAACCTCCTCATCAGAAAGGATGGGCGAACCGTGAATTTGGGTGGGAAGACCTCTGTGACCGTGTATCCCGGGGTAAGAGACACAGCCTGTGTGAACAGATATGCAAAATTTTAATTTGGTAGTGGCCTCTGTGATCCTGAATGATTGTCCTACCGAGACAAGGCCACACCTGTGTTGAACCTGCTCTTCTTCACAGGACATCTTCTGCCTTTACACCCCTGGCGGTGGGGGCTATGGAGACCCGGAGGACCCAGCGCCACCACCAGGCTCTCCCCCGCTATTTGCAGCCTTCCCAGAGCGCGGCAGTGTATATGAGTACCGCCGCGCCCAGGAAGCTGTGTGAGTGCCCCACAATAAAGACCTTGGAGTCGCATGGATATTGGGATCAGCTCCTCATGGTGGTCTTTCTCGCTAGTCATCCATTTGTCTGTGTGCCAGCATTAGTAGCACGAAACTTGAAGATTCAGGCCCACAGCTAAGTGGTCCGTGAGCCCCGCCAGTGCAGTACTGAAAGTCACCTGCTCCACCTCCTGCGGGACAGGAGTCAAATTGAGAACTGTTTTCAGTTTGAGCAAGCAAGCCCAGCTGCCCCCAGCTCAGGCACTTACTGGACGCAGGTGACTGTCAGGAATTCCACGGTACATGATATAGTCCAGGCGCCTGCCCTGCCAGGATTTACTGTAGTGACTTCCACTAAGGGGTCCTGCCAGGTAGAGGCGGCGCCCTTTTTCCTGCTCCAGGGCCCTAAGAGAGGGACAGAATCACTGAGGCTAGGCAAGTTCCTCCCAGCTGGCCCACTTAACAGTGCGGTTAGACTTACCTTCGTAACATTTCTGGGGAGCAGGCAATGGCGTGGTGTAGCGTGGAAGTGCTCAAAATCGTCCCTGTGGAGTCCGGGGAGAGCAGGATCAGTGACAGCCTTGTTGATATCCCACAGACCTGCTCTCCCCACCTTCACAGAAGCAGTACCCAAGGCCCAGGGCTGCTCTTGGCAGGTGCCTAGCCGGCAGGGGTCCTGAAAACAGCTGAAGAGTTTGTGTCCCTGCTCCTTTGTGTGATCTGTAGAAGAAAACTGTTCTTAGCAGGCAGAGCTGGGTCTCTGGGCTCCACCTAACCCCAGCTTCTCACCTAGTGAACTGTTGTCAAAATTTAGGTCTCCCAGGAGGACACTGAAGGCTACAGCCTCATCACTCTGGCGGCTCTCTGCCTCGAACTCCTCCACCCATTCCAGCAGTAGGGTCAGCTGTTTGCAGCGAACATGCCCATCTCCTAAGAGGAGAGTTGGGGTTGGTTTATCCCAGAGTGGGGATCCAAGACCATACCCTGTTCTGTAAACCCACCCAGGCATTTCTTGGGATGTCTGGGTTCAGAAATTAAGCATTGGGATGTAGGGACAAAAGTGTTGGTGAGGTTAGGGACCTACTGCCTTCACAGGAGAGAAGGGAGACTGCCCACATCCAACAACCCCTCCTGCAGAGCTCACCAACGGGTGCCTGCAAGTGTGTGCAATGAAGGTATCCCACGATACGACGCCCGTCCAGGATGCCCAGTTGTGCCTGCAACACCACACACAGTTCCAGCTCTCTTTGCTGGTTAGATCCACTGCCTACCCTCTCCCTAATAGGGCTCATTGCTGCCTGTTAATACCTGGGCGGATAGTAGACCTTTGGAGGCCAGGGCGTCCTCGCCACGAGCGTTAGGAAAGCAACGGAAGGTGGCACGCAGCAGCGGGTAGCGCGAGGCCAGTAGAAGCCCACTGCCCAGTACCTTGATGTATGGCCCAGGCACTAAGCCAAATGTGCCTACATCGTACAGCACTGGGCCTAGATTTGACACCAGGATGTGCACAAGACGACGAGCTGCGCGGAGATCGAACACTTCCTGTAGGCACACGAAGTCCAAACCCGTAGGTATTGTGGCACTCAGCACACCAGCAGGCACCCCAGGCAGCGACTGGCTGCATTCGGTAGCCCCATAGTGTGGCATTCGAAGGCTACCTAGCAGTGCGGTGGCAATGGCCTCCGAGCGCTGCTGGCTGTGCGACAGGTTGCTGAAGCGTGCCAGCCCATCAGGGAGCAGGCATAGATTGGCAGTGAAAAAGACAAAGCAGCGCACGCGTTCAGCAGGCGGGTGCCAGGGCTGTGGCCACACCCAGCAGGCCGGAGGAGGCTGGTAGCAGAAGGGGCGGCGCCAGACCTGTAGGGGCAGCCAGAGCACAAGGCCAAACAGTGCCAGGGGTAGGCCAACTACCACCACCAATAGCAACGCCGCCGCACTTCCTGCTAGGACTTTGAGCCACCCCAACCTGCTAGATCGTGCCATTGGTGCCCAGCAGCCCAGCAACTGGTCCAGAGACCAGTAGGCTGGGAAGAGCAGCATGCGGGATAAGCTGTAGAGGGCTTGTAGCACGGGGTGCGGGAAGGGTGAAGGCCTCAGAGCGTCGGGTGTCGGGGGCCAGTCGAGTGAGGGTTCATGGCGCACAGGGCTCCTTCGCCGCGAAACGTCAGCGAGATTCATTCCAGCCAGAGAGTTGAATCCTTAGAGTTCGCACGAGCAGCTGGAGGTCAAGACCAGGTGGCACAAACTGTGCGGGCAGCTAGTAAGGACCTGTGCCCCGGAGTCTGAGTTCTGGACATTGGCCCCACCCACTCATAACTTCTGTGACGGTTGGGAAGAAAAAAAAAAGAACCCGGGCTTCACAGCCCCGCCTGCTGTGCTTGTCCTTGCGCCTGGCGGGTCCACTTACTGCATCGAGAAAAACTTAGGGCCCCGCCTTCCGTCTAGTCTTCCCCACCCCTCCAATAAGCCTTTCTGTCTGGCTACACAGCAGGCAGGTGCTTGTGCCTGGTGCATGAGTGCAAAGATTCAACATCAATGGCCTGCAAAGGTTGTGGCTGTGACTTACTAGCTTCAAGTCGGAGGAGAGACCTTTAGTTTCTACACTTTAAGAAGGCTTGCCCGGACACATGAGCCAGGTAAAAGGAGGTTCCCCATTCTATGAGCACTGACAGACTTTCGTTTTGTTTTTCGAGACAGTGTTTCTCTGTGTAGCCCTAGCTGTCATGGAGCTCTGCCTCCTGAGTGCTGGGATTAAAGTCCTGCGCCAGCACTGTCCAGCTCGACTTTAGGCTCTTACATTGTCCCTTGGCTTTCACAGATTTTTTTCTGCTTCCCTTGGAAGTCTGCCTCCCTAATTCCAGCTGTGAGCCAGCATTCACCCTGATGTCAATCATAAGTGTCTCTTAAGTTATCTATCAGGTTTGTCTCTGCTACCTGTCTTCACCCAGGTTTCCAGGATAGTTGTGGAGATGCTTTGATGAGGCAAGTGTTAATGAGCTGTCTGACTGGGTTCCCAAAGTCTCTCCAATGAGAGTGGTCAAGGCAGAAGGTAACAAGCTCTAAGGGGATTGGGTATCCAGCTGGGGGATTCCAGCAACTCCACACCTCTCTGTTCCTGTAATTTTTTGGTACTGATAAGATTCCTGTTTGAGTTCAGACCCCAAGGCTCTTCTGTTCTTTAACTGGTAAGGATTAGTTTTCTAAGATCCTGGTTCTTTCCTTCTTCTTTTTCTGAGACAGGGTTTCTCTGAGTAGCCCTGGCTGTCCTGGAACTCACTCTG